ATGGATGGATGGATGGATGGATGGATGGATGGATGGATGGATGGATGGATGGATGGACGGACGGACTGACTGACTTACAGACAGACAGACAGATTCTAATATACATTTAGTTTTAAGATATAGAAGAAAATAACTTTACCGAGAAGTAAACCTATTAAAAATAATTGGTTGCTCTTCTGATTTGTGTTGAATGGAATTAGGCTTTATCAGTGTTAAACAGATTTTATGTTGCACTTTGGACAACTGAGAACATGAAACAAATTATGTTGACGCTGGCTGTCCCAACTATCTATTTATCTAGCTGCAATTTTCCAGCTTTGCTCCAAGGCTTATGCAAAATATGTTTCTTGTCACTAAAAATTAGTCATCGTGAAAACCACAGCAGATTTAACTCATTATGAAATATGAGATTAATTTTAAGCAAAAATGCTAAGTTGAAGTCAAATTACCATATTTTTCAGAGTATAAGATGCACCTTTCTTCCTCAAAAAAGAGGCTGAAAATCTGGGTGCATCTTATACACCGAATACAGCATTTTTTGCCTCCCGAAGCCCTGCCCCTTCACCAAAACGGCCATGCAAAGCCTTATGGAGACTTTCAGACAGCTCCTGGGGGCTGGGGAGGGCAGAAGTGAGCAAAAAATGGGCTGTTTTTTGCCGCCCCCCCCCAGCCTCCAGCAGCACTATATAAGCCTCCATAAGGCTATGCATGCAATTTTTTTTTTACCAAAAACAAGGCCGTTTTCACAAAAAAGGACCATTTTTTCTCATTTTTGCCCCCCCCCCCAAGGAGCACTCTGCCAGCCCCCCTCCAAGGTAATTCATGCCTTTTTAAAAAACAACGGGCCCATTTTTGCGAAAAATGGGCCGTTTTGGGGAGGTTTGCAGAGTGCAAAAACTTTTTTTCCCTTCTGGAAAAATCTTTAACTGAGATGAGAATTACATTGATCAAGTGCTGTGCCAGCAGAAACAAAGTCTTAGGTGCTGCAGATTGACAGCGATTTCCTTCTCCAGCACAGGGATAAATAGACCTAGAAACATCTACCGACCTAACCTCTCTCTCTCCCTACCTACCTACTGTATTTCTCTCTCTCTCTCTCCCTCCCTCCCTCTACCTACCTACTTACCTACTCTCTCTCTCTCCCTACCAATCCACTGTATTTCTTATCTCTTTCTATTTCTCTCTCTCTATTCCTCTACCTACCTACCTACACACACACACTCTCTCTCTCTACTGCATTTCTCTCTTTCTCTCCCTCTCCAACCCTCTATCGACCTACCTTTTTTATTTTTTATTTAAATTTTTATTAACAAACATGTGAAATACACACACACAAAACTTAGATGTACACTACATTTACACAATACAATACGAACAGGAGCTCCCTGTTCTTTCTAATAGCAATTATCAATTGATACCTCTCACCTTATATTATTTCCCTTTCTATTATATTTCATTTGGATTTCACCATTCTTAACTTATTTTAATCATAACTATTGTTTTTTAGTTTTGTTATATTCGTTCATTGATTCGGTTCTTTTCTCCATCCACCT